TAGTAAATTATTATATCCATTAAACTTTATATCTTTAACATAAAATACTTTTATTTCTTATACCTTAACTCCAGAAAAATATATATACATCAGTATTGCATATCTTTATTCAGTTTCATATTTTTCGAAACTTAATAGTAATGCTTTTTTTTAAAGTATATTCCAAGAAAAATCTGCAAGCATCTTCCTCCAACATTAGAACACGCGTTTCTTCACCATAGTGGCAAAGAGTGGTATGTAAATATGAGCATTGGTGATTAAAGAAGGTTCAAGGTAGGCTGGAGACTTTTTGTGTTGGAGAATTTTATCAGGCCAGGTTTCGTCGTCAAATTTACGTTGGTTGAAGTTTCACCACTGGGTGCTATCTTCAATGTTCAAGTGAAGGGAGACGGATATCCTATTTGTACTAATCCGTTTTTTACTTTCTACTAGGATGTGTTTGTGTTGATTTATCCTTTTATTATCTTTTATTTTCATGTATGTTGCTTTAGTTATGGTTGTTGTGCTTTTTTCTCTTGAAGTATTATGTTATGAAATTTCAATCTTCATATTGGTCTTCTTTACTAACACCAATAAGTTGAATGTCGGAACTATCATATCATCATCCCAGTTCAAAAGGTCATGTTCCAACCACGCTATATATATTCATACAAAACATAGTATTTAACCGCGCTATATATGGCGTGTTAAAGATTCTTTCTGAAACGAAACAGCTTTTTCGCAGTCGGGAAGCTTTTCAGAACGACAAGACAACACACAAAATGCAGTATTTAACCGCGCTATATATATTCACTTATTTATCAAACATCTTCCTTCTCTAACAGTGTAGTTTTCTAATAATTTTAGAGTGAAACTCGAAAGTGAATGTTGAAATTTTCCGTTTTCTAATCCAATACTATTTTTGATTACACGAACGGGAGGGAGAAATTCATTAATTTACTCAACTGAAAAAAGTTAAATATCAATAAGATGTAACAAGGTTGTGGAACATAATTTTATTTGATACATCTTGCAACATAAACAAGTACAGACACTTATTACAAAATATACTACGAAAACAAAACAGTAGTTGTATCCTTGATAGTTGGGTACATTAGACGAACTTGCACCAGGAGCTGGATTACCACCGCCACCCAGACCAGCTGAAGGACATTTACGACGGTCGTGTCCTGTTTGCGAGCATATGCCACATTTACGCACATAAACGGTATCACCAACATCCATTTGGTTCCGTATACGCGTTCTCTTTTGCACTTGTAGCTTGCGCAAATAGTCCTTGTTACACAACATTTTAAATGGTTACGGCGGCCAATAATGCTCAGCAACCACTGGCTGCAACTGCCCACTATATGTGTTTACGTATGCAGCAACACTATATTGCCTATCAACATAGTTGGTTGCCCCTAAACCTGTTTGTTGAAAGCACGTCATGGCATGCGAGCACGGCATGTGGTAGATGGTCCATTTCCCACATGAACACAACCTGCTAGCTTCATTTACGGTGTGTAGATTATTCCCCCGGTGTTGACGGATAGTGGTGCGAACTTCAAAAACACCCCGGTCGTGATCATACTGTAAATATGAATGCCAATATGCTCGCCTCCTGTATTTCTTAAATCTTCTCATCGGTATTCGCATAAATTCAACACTCATGTCCATCAATTCCGATGCAGCTCTATGCCTTTCAACAAACCTCTCCGCCATCTGTTTGAATGTCATCCGGACCATGGCAGTGACAGGCAATCCACGTGCAGACTTCAATAACCCGTTGAATGACTCCGACATATTTGTAGTCAGGGCTCCCCATCGTCTGCCACCATCAACATGCAATGTCCACTTGTGAAGCTCATGTCCCATCAACCAATTATAGGCTCTTCTGTCTAACTGCCGGATCGATTCCATGCGCCTCCTGAATTTGCACTGCTGGTGCTCAGTTGCAGCCATCCACATTAAATCATGCAAGTCCTTGTTGGGATATTTCTTTTAGAAATTGGCCTTCGGGTGCCTCACACAGTAACGGTGGTATGCATAGGGTTCCCATTCAGGCAAATGCCGTACAGAACTTAAAATACCACCATGCCGATAAGATATTAGAAAAATACCTGAACGCTGTTTGACAACGTGCTGCTTCAAGTGGTTCAAAAATAGCGTCCACGTCTCTTCACTTTCATTGGCACAAATGGCAAAAGCTAGTGGAAATATTTGTCCATTGGCATCTACTGCAACGGCGATCAATAGCTTAATATCATACTTTCCATAAACATGAGTATCGTCTATAGAAATTACCGGACGACAATGCACAAAACCATCAATTGCTGGTTTAAATGCCCAGAACACGTATCTGAATATATATTCTGGTATCCTGGACTCCGCTCATGCTTCCATTCAACAACAGTCCCGGGGTTAAAGTGTTTCAGTGCGGCCATGTACCTGGTAGAGATGAAAATGACTTATCCCAATCACCATAAATAATTTCAAATGCACGTTTGCGCCCGAGATTCCTGGTGGACGGATGTAATACACTCTTTGATCTTGTAACTAATGGACACTTCCAAGTGTGGAATCAAGACAAGAGAAATCAAGTCAACATCCAAGTTGAAGTGATTCTCGTTGAATGTGTCCATTTGACAAACGTGGGTGCCAATATATTTACCCACTTTCCACAACCCTGTTTCCTTCTTGCTCGCACATAACATCCATTTACAACCCATAAAGTATCTACGGCATTCAACCTTGTATACCTCCGGAGTTGACTCCCTTACTGTCATCTCACGACACTCTCTTATGTTGTACATTTTACAAGCCTTGGATAGGCGAGCTTTATCGGAAAATACATGCCTTTTGCCAGCACCGTTGGTCTAGACTCATCCCACATTGCTGATCGAATTTCGTCAAGATCCCTTGTGAGGGAATCCACATCCGGCATACTTGGAAAATTATCAAGGTAGGGAATATGCCTTGAATGAAAAGGCACGTGGGACTCGTACACTCTTGGTCTAACGGGAGGTGGAGGAGCATGCTCCCTCGTCAGCTCAGGTTCGACATTCACTTCCTCCTCCTCATCACCCTCGTCACGGAAGGGTGTGTCATCTCCAGACTCATCGGCATTGTTGTCATAATCACTATTATCTTCCTGACTCTGCGCATCTGCGAAATCACGAGTAAATACGTCGTCTACGGGCGACTGAGTGAGGTCAGGATCATCAAGATGCTCGTTTTCACTGTGCAAACAACAAAATGATAAGCTACTCAAATTGATAAATAATTTACATATAGCTATATCACTTCACTTACAAGTCGCACTGTGCTGACATTCCATGATGGACATTTTCCTGTTGGTGATGACTACCAGATGGACCACCATGATCCAACACGCCAAAACTACGCATATTCCAACTGGGCTTGGGGTCATAACTTGTAAAATTCATATCGGGACGGTACCCCCTGTGGAATATATAAGTGTTAATACAAATTCAATTCAACAAAAAAAAACATCATAACACAAAGGAAAATTGAAGTTTACCAGTCGTCTTGTAGATTATGTAAAGTATGAGAGAAATTATTTCATCGCTCCTCGTTCGCCCGCGGAGATAAGTTTAGATCCGGCCAAACTCTTTCAGCCGGAACTTGTTGGGCTAAAACTGCTCCAGAATAACCACCCGATGATTGAGGGTTATCCCTGCTTTGCGCAATCTCATTATTGCGAACGTCTTCAGCCTTGACGTACATTTCCAACAATTTTATCATAATAAATTCCCTGTATTCATTCGGAATCCCCAAAAAATCTCTCAGAGTTTCATCGTCTTCGATGTTAAACTCAGAATAACAAGCAAACCCCTGCGGAGTCACAGAATACGGATATCTTCCGGTTATTTTAAGATTCATCGAACGTTTGCTCAATCTCATTTTATTGCATAACAACGACACCAGTCTATCGTACTGCATTGTAAGTGGCAACTTAACATGACTCTGTGAAGATAAACTATAGCTCACTGAGTTATTCCCCACAACAACCTCACCCCCCAATATAATGAAACTCTTACTTTTCGCTCTTCAGACATTGTGAAAAAAGCTTGAGAATCAAAAAGAAAAATTTATCACGAAGTTGGAGTATTTCTGAATGATAATTCTCAAAATCCTTAACGCCTTTATATAAGGCAATGCCCAATCCGGAGGGTCAAATGTTTGGAAGTAAAACGCGGTTTAAAAGGGCGTTTTACATATTTGAATTATTGTTATGTCAGTTAAGCGCAGAAGGATTATTGGTGGGACCACTTAACATGTAAAACGCGGTTCATTATCGTGCTTTATATAAAACGCTGTAATGGACCGCGTTTTATATATTTGTCTTTTCAGCTTCTACTAAATCGCGGTTTGTTTCCGCGTTCTATATGAAAACGCGGTTATGAACCGCGTTTTATATAGAAATGTAACTTTTTTTTCACTTAAAAAAGTATTTTGAGTAAAAAAGAACAACATTTAGGTTCTGGACTCTTAGTATTAGTATGGTATTGTCCTTATTCTTAGATTGATATTACTACCTGCCATTTGATTGTTATCTTTTCTTTCGGTTTTCTTAATATCTTGATGTTGTTGCTGCTTGTTGCCCCACTGCTTCTTTTCATCTTTTCTTGAGCGGGTGGTTTATCGAAAACAATCTCTATGCCCTCCCAAATAGGGGTGGGGGTGTGCGTACACATTACCTTCCACATGCTCCACTTATGGGAATTGTTTAATCAAAAAAGAAAAAATATATATAAAATAAAATGGGAGATTATTGTATAACTACCATCTTATATAGTAATTTACACGATTGATTTTAAACTATATTACAGTTGTTGCTTAAATTAATCTACTTTTAAAAAATTAACACCGTTAGCATCAACATCAACCGCGGTAGTTCACAGAGGCAGCATCGCTTAGTGGGTGGTTTGCGTATGTGTCGTGGGGAAGCGGTCAAAACTGAAGTTTTGTCCTTAATCTTAGAAAACAGTGTATTTTTTTGCATTCCTACAATAACTCTTACCTTTATCTTCTTTTCATTTTTCAATAGTATATCGCAGAAATACAGTACAGCATCTTCAGTTATACTCTTTCGCCATTTTATCACTCAACACCACCCCTGTAATATAATAATAATAACAATATAATCTTCTTCACAGATCCCAATCTCACATCTTTTTAATTTATGTTAATCGATATAATTCAATTCTCTGGATTGAAGAAGAAGAAGAACAGGAGCAGCTAAGGATGTCCGGAATATGGAGATGGAGAAATCTAAGACACTCACCGGTTACAAGGAGGAGGAGAACAACAACGACAACGGCGATTACGAGGACAATAACCTCAATTCAACAAGAGGAACAACAACAGCAGCATCGAAGTTACGTGAATTGGCTGCACGTGGGTTCTCACGTGAAGCGGAGAGAGTCTCTCATCGGAGTACAAGCAAGGTACAAGTGGGACCGGGGCGGTTCTTCCGATGAGTATCGGACTTCCACGAGAAGGATTAGGGCGGAGGCTTATTGTCCTCGTTGCTCTAAACACATGGATCTTCTATTTACTAATCGTAATCACCACCTCATCCCTCCTCCTACTAACGACGATGATAAAAATAATAATAGCAATGAAAATAGTGCTGCTGCTGCTAGTGGTCCTTACCAGGCCGTGAATCTTTGCCCCAATTGTAAAACGGCTTACTACTTCAGGCCCAACAAGATGGCACCACTTCAAGGTAGTTTCTTTGAAATTGGGAGAGTGAAAGGCAATGGTAATGGTAAAAGAATGAATAATAGTGATGAAGAGAATAAGAGGCCGAGGCCTTCTTTTTGGGAGTCATTGAAATCATACGGTGGTGAGCCACCTGAAAATTGGCCACCACCTCCGCCACCGGGTAATGGGCTGGCGGTGCATACACCTCCAGGCCCACCATTTGCACCTGGACTCAATCTGATTCGGGCTGCTGGACCTGATGGTAAAAATGGTGGCGCGGATGAAAGTAGCGAGGAGAAGAGTGGGTGGGGCGGGTCTAATTTGGGGAAGAATTTGCCAACGCCAAAGGAGATATGCAAGGGACTTGATAAATTTGTCATAGGTCAAGAGCGTGCAAAAAAGGTTCTTTTTTTAATCCCTCTTATTCTTTTAAGCCTTTATAGTCATTGCCATTATTCATTGCACTACACAATACTGAAACTTTTATAACTGTGATCAAGCAACTGAAATGATCACTATCTACTGGTTAACTATTAACTCGCAACGTCAATCAGTAGCATTTTCATATTATTAATCTCTGTTATGCCTAAGGAGATGCATATCTAGAATTCTTGTTCGTGGAAATCAGATATTAAATTGGACTTTGATGCTTATGAGCTTCAGGCATAATCTTTTATTTGTCACTCTTATCCAACTTTAGAGTCGGAGAAAAGGATAGACTTTCCATTAAGTCATTGTTTGCACAATATGTCCTACATGGAATAAATGCTTCTAACAGGGGCAGATGTAGCATTATCCCATAACTTTCGAGGCAGAGTACAAATTTATGTGTAAAAATCCACTGAAATTGCAACAAATAGTAGATATGAACTTAGCTTTGAAAATATAATGGGTTCAATAATAAAATTCGCCTCTGGCTTCTAATTTGTATTGGGTCTTTGAGTTGTTTTTTCACAAGTGATTCATTTGGCAGGTGCTTTCAGTGGGTGTTTATAATCACTACAAAAGGATTTACCATGCTTCATTGCAGAAAGGGTTAGTCCGTTAGTTCATGATTTGTTGAAGACTTAATGTTGAACAGTGCATTTCCCTCTAAATTTCGATATATTTGTATCCTGTTGAATATTCTATCATCTAGTTTGTCTTGCCTTTCTTTCTTAGCTTTATTTTCTCTGTATGAACCATTATTATATATACTTCTGTGTTAGGTCTGGAGCAGAATCAGCGAGGGATGATAGTGAAGAAAATGTGGAACTGGAAAAAAGCAATGTGCTTTTGATGGGGCCTACTGGATCAGGTAAAAATATGCATACCATTCTTGTACTTTCAGTCAGTTATTTATCCAGAGATTGTCAGCTGATAGAAGTTCCAATACTGGAAGATGTCTGGCTTAAGTTTTCCTGAAACAGGGAAAAACTACTTGCAAATCCTTGGCTAATAAATTTCATCAGTTCTCTCACTGATTAGTGATGGAACTGGGTTTTTGTGAGGCTACAATTGTAACATTCAGCACCATCTTAGTGCTTGTGATTACTAACTTTTACTTGCCATTTCAAAAAAGAACTACTTTCAATTCCGTAGTTCTTTTGTGAATGTGGCTTTTCTAATTCTGGTTCTTTATCTGTTGCTTCCTTAAACCTATGTTTAGCCTTGGAAACATTGAGACCTTTTGTCGGTTCATATTGCTTGTTAGCAGGGATGTTCCAAAATTGAGAACCTTATAACTTACGATGTTCCGAAAGTGGGGACTGTAAGAGAAAGGAAGGGGATGTGGAAACTTTAGTTCCCCTCTTTGTTAAATGAAAAATGATAAGAAGAAAAGAAAGGCATAAGAAAACATTTTCTCCTCACAGCCACTGATTTTTTCTTCATCAGAACACCTTGTCCGCTATTTCTTGTTTTGTCTGCCAACTGAACAAGGATGAATGGGACTTTCGTCTCTTTTTCTTCTTCTTTTGCTCGTCCTTGTTCTCCAACAAGATTTAATTTTCTGTAACACAGTAAGAATTGCAATAAACTGCAGATTGGTTTAAGAATGTGCCCATTTTCATTTTGTGCTTCTGTTTGTAGCTTCCTTTAACTAATGTGTAGCCTCACAAACCAATAATATTTTTAGTTAAAAATTGCTTACTTTTGTGGGAGCATTTGTGAAACTTGGAACTTTCTAACTCCGTTTTTGGAACAGGGAAAACACTACTTGCAAAAACACTTGCACGCTTTGTGAATGTGCCTTTTGTTATTGCAGATGCAACAACCTTAACACAGGCAAGTAAGATGCTATTTTGATTTGAACTTTTCCCACTTTGATTGTTTCTCTTCTTATTTAGTGAAGAATAAATGGGCGGACTGTGGAGTCTCTCTTTACTTACAATAATATACTATTATACAAAACAAAGTAAATCATACATAAGTATTTTAAATTTGTTAGTAACACAAGTAGGAAAGGGATATATGGAGTGATAAATTTCCAAGCAATACTTGAATATGTGCTGAGAATATAGAGTCTAGAAAGTATTAGAAAATAGTATCAAGTTTCTCCCATTATATCTGGATTTAACTTGTTCCCAAGCGGCACTTGCATCTAAAAATTAGAATAGCTCCTTTCTTGTTATTTTAAGCTCCAATATGAGAGTAAGCACAGAAGAATAATTGGAAATACTTTTTAGTTGATCATTTCCACGGGGTGCTGGTTCTTTCTGAATTTACTTCTTGATGTCCAACTGAGAAGCACTTTTTGCCATCTTACAGGCTGGATATGTTGGTGAAGATGTCGAATCCATATTGTACAAGTTACTTACGGTATGGTTCCTACTGCAGAGATTCATAAGTATGCAAATTACTGGCTGAGTTAAGCATGTCCCTGTTCTACATATTTCTTGGTTCGCGAGAAGTTGGATGTGTAGATCATTCTCCAAAAAAAAAAAAAGTTAGATGTGTAGTTATTATCAGTACTTTTTCATCCTACAGTTAATATGCCATGGTTTTTAGTTTTTGCCCCATTTTGTTATGTGCCAATAGTTTCTTTATATAGTGAGGGTATTACTTTAACTTAGAATATAGTGTAGAATCTTATGAAGGTTTCAGTGGTGCTAGGAATGTGATATTGTTGTGACATGCAGGTTGCTGAATTTAATGTGCAAGCAGCACAACAAGGGATGATCTACATTGATGAAGTCGATAAGATAACAAAGAAGGTGCTTGTTTTGCTTCTTTTTTGTTTATTATAATTGTTTGTAGCTTATTTGAAGAAAAGCTCTATGCATTTTGTCAAAATATTTTGATCACTGTGTAATCTTCTTTTTCATCTGACATTTAAAGGATATCACAATTGACACACCTATTTTATTCCTCTGCTTTCTGTCTTTGAAAAGGCTGAGAGCTTAAATGTTAGCAGAGATGTTTCTGGGGAAGGAGTTCAGCAGGCACTACTGAAAATGCTCGAAGGAACTGTGAGTGCCCTTGGTCTTGGCCCATTTATTAACTATTGTTGTTTTCTAATGAATAAGTATTTGTCGGCTTTCTTTGGCTATTAATAGCTTCCTCCTTATCCTTATTTAAAAAATAATAGCTTCAGATGTGTGTTCAACTATCTTCATGCTTGCTAAAAAAAAACTATCTTCATGCTGACAAATCCAAAGGCTGTTATAGGTTTCATTTCTTGTATATTAGAGGAACCGATTTAAACTTTGGCTGCAAATTTATTGGAAAGCTATTAATGGATATGCAGTACTGAGTACTGACAGGTATAAATTGTTGTACATAAAGTTAATGTTGAACTGCAACCACTATTCCAATTTAAGCAGAAAAGATGTAGACCTAGCATATTTGGAAGAAGTTCAACTTTTAATGATCATGGACTGAATTTCTGATAGACACTAGTCTAAGATAGAAAACATAAAAGAACTTGAACTTCTGTTGAATTGGTCGTGAATGAAATAAGGGCGTCCTATATTGGAGTTTAGGCAAGGAAATATTTCATTAGACTTTAATATAAGGGAAGCTTGGACTAAGGTAAGATTCCTAAATAAGGGAAGTTATTAAATGGAGAAATACTTAAATTCCAAGCCTAGTTACGAAGATATATATATATCTACTCTTAACCTACACACGGAAAATGTATCTAGAACATTTTAACATATACTATCTAATTCTCTTGACTTTGAACATGCCCCTCGAACTCAATGTAGGTGAAACAAATTGAGTTTGCAAATAAAAACAGGAATGTCCTGGCAAGCATGTTGGAAAAAGTTACTGTTAAAAGAACAGACATCTCAATAATATCATCGAATCACACCAGAATACTGTTCAATCACTGAAAAAAAAAAAGCATCGGGAGAATGCTTTCGTTCAAAAACTTGCAGGTAATTGCACAACAAAGAATGTTCTTCTTGTATCACACACGAAAAGGAAGTTATCCCAACAACTTTTATGGTTGCAATGTGTGCTTGACTTTGTGATTTATGTCTCCCAGGGTGTATAGTAAGTGGCTCCCTATTTGATTCCCCACAATAAAAATAGCATAGAGTAAGTTTAACTTGGTATATTCGTCCTTAATTTTCTTGGCGAGTTTCATACAACTTAATAATGAATAATCATGCTTCCTCTCACTATCTTGGGCACACTTACCTGGTGTTCGTGCTTAAAATATCAAATATGGAACTGATCAATGACCATCTGTCTTTTCAATTTCTATATTTCATTCTAAAGAGATCTTTGATCGTTATCATGGTAAACTTCACTGTCCTCGATTTATTTTGTTTATACAGTGCTGTAATCATGATGTTTATCATTTGTGCTTTAAAAGATTCGCAGTTTAGATTACGAATCTTGCTCTTATATCACTTTAAAAAATTTCTTGGAAACAGCATCGTCCTTAGCTAATGATATGGGCTGCTGCCTTTATTAATAAGTAGTAACATATATGTCTCTTTATCCAGATTGTGAATGTACCTGAAAAGGGACAAAGGAAGCATCCTCGTGGTGATAATATTCAGGTAAAGTGGATGAGAATGTGTTCAGTTCCTATTTTCCTTTGTTACCATTCTTAGAGTTTTGCTACCTTTTGTTTCTTGATAAAGTTATAATTTTACCTCTGTAAAAGGAAAACGCTAGCATACAAGAGGTATACAAAAGATAAAATCTCACACAAAAATAAACTTAGAACTCTGCTAAGTGGATACCTTACCTTTACCCAAAAAAAAATCACTCTGCTAAGTGGTAACATGATGTATAGAGTCTGAACCTGCCCAAATGCTGAAAGTTGGAAGGAGTAGTCTCAAGTTTTAAATGGGAGCTCCTGTAAACAAGCAAACCACCGTTTATACTAATTGGAATCTCACTGGTGCTTTAAAAATTTACAAAAAAAGAACATAAATGGTCCCTGGAGCTGTACAACAATGTTTTCTATCCCTCAAATATTTTTTTTGGTAAGGACGTTAAGTGCTAGAAGGAGGGCTTGAACCTCCGACGTTGTGGTTAACAGCCACACACTCTAACCAACTGAGCTATTCCAGCTATCCCTTCAATATATATGATTCTTTATTAAATAATGAGATAATAAGGTAAAGAATCAATTGGTAAGTTGGATGAGGCTATGTCCAAAATAATTTTCCATTGAGAGATGTTAAACATTGGATCTCATGCTCTGACTTAAAAGTAGCGAGACATGCTGTAGATGAACTTGTCGATGATCAGCATTCTTGGGTCCACTTCTAGATGTCAACGGATGTGTCAATCAGTTCAGACAAAATAAAGTCAGGTGCTACATGTAGACACTTTCTTTTCTCTGAATTGGAACCAAATGTTTGGAATCTCTTCTCCATTTCCTTATAAAAAAGATTAACAAACACGAACGTCTTATGCTTCACTTGTTGAATTCATTTTATTTCTTCCCCTATGAATTCTCTAAAAGTTTTGCAACATTTATACAGATAGATACAAAAGACATTCTTTTTATCTGTGGTGGCGCATTCATTGATTTGGAGAAAACTATTTCAGAGAGGTAATTTTATTTTCTGAATTCCTTCCTCTAAGTGCATCAGGAACTAAGACTTTTGTGAACTATGAGGGTTTACAAGGGTTTCTTATTATCAGACGACAGGATTCTTCTATTGGTTTTGGAGCTCCAGTTCGCGCCAACATGAGAACTGGTGGAGTAACTAATGCAACTGTAGCATCATCCTTGCTAGAATCTGTAAGATTGGTGATCGAATTCTAAGTTCCTATGTTTTTATATGCTTGAGATTGTTAGTTGTGCACAATAGAATTTAATATCTAGCCAGCTGCTATTCCTGAAAGATATCACTTCATGTTTCCAGGTAGAAAGTAGTGATTTCATTTCATACGGCCTCATACCAGAGTTTATTGGGCGCTTTCCTATTTTGGTTAGTTTATCTGCACTGACAGAGGACCAGCTTGTTCAGGTACTTTTTATTTTTTGTTTTGCCTTTAGTTTTTATTTTGCTACTGATTCTTGCACCAGGGTAGGCTGCCTACATCACACCTCTTGTAGTGCGGCCCTTCCCCGGACCATGTGTGAATGCGGGATGCTTCCTGCACGGGATTCCCTGACCTTTAGGTTTTATTTTGCTACTGTAATCACGGCCTGCATTGTATACGGAAAGCACGTTCAACTCATTCAGCATGGGAGGATGTCTCTCATGCTGATGGGTTGCATCAATTGGTTTACCTTCAGAAGCTTAGTGTACCTACTGGAGCAATTGTCTTCCATTTGTGAAAAATACTTTATCTGGAATAAGCTCTTTTAAGCAGAGCAAATATTGATAGAAGTCCAGTTGGCTCTCTCATCATCAATTAACATGAAAGACCCAAGATACACAAATGTTGATAATGATTTGTAATTACTGCTCCAGTTCTCTGATTGAAGAACTTGATCCTTGCTTATGAGGGAAATCCATCTTTCACCTAACAGATTTTGGTTATTGTTACTTATTCCCTGCCTGATTCCTTTTGTTCTATGTATTCCTTGCTTTGATTGTTCTTCTCTTTCGCCGTCTTCTTTCTTTTTGACTTTTGGTCTTGAAGTATTTGTTTTTCCATAAAATTGACTTGGTGAATTTAATGTATTTTTTTTCTTACAGGTCCTCACTGAACCCAGAAATGCTCTTTGCAAGCAATATAAAAAGCTATTTAGCATGAATAATGTAAGTACAAACTATGTGTCCTTCCTCTCTTCCCCCACTCACACCCACCTTTACAACCCTCCCACCCCAGGGCAAAAAGGAACACAAGCATGAAATTACACATCCTCAAACCCTGAAGAGAGAGGTTACATGTTGTATTCAACTGATTTGGACTTTCACATGTTTGTTTAGACTAAGCTTCATTTTACGGAGGGAGCATTAAGGTTGATTGCCAAGAAAGCGATGGCTAAAAATACTGGTGCTAGGGGATTGAGAGCCATACTTGAAAGCATCTTAACTGATGCTATGTATGAGGTAAACTGTGTTCGAATCTATTTTCATAGGAGCTTCACAAAATCTTTAAGATCAGGATCAAGTGTTTTCGTACTTGATTCGCTTGAATGTGCAGATTCCTGATGTCAAAGCTGGAGATGATAGAGTAGATGCTATTGTGGTGGATGAAGAGTCGGTAGGTGCAGTAAATGCACCTGGATGTGGTGGGAAGGTACTTCGTGGAGATGGTGCTCTGCAACGGTATCTTGCTCAGGCACATTCGGTAGATCAAAGAGTATGATTTGAACTTTCACTTGTTTATTTTATTCCCTCGCTATTGCCATTTCTTTTCAGTAGAATCATTCTTCTTCTAAAGCAAGCTTAGAATGTGTGAAGACATATACCCTCTGCAACATGCACGCTGTTGACCTCTGGATAAATTTTATTGCCAGGAAAATCATGGCATGGCCGAAACCGAGCTGCAGGAGGGTGAGTCGGAAGTCTCATCTAGAGCAATAAGCATGTAAGATTATTAGAACCTCAGTTTTAGGATGCAGCATACATGATTTTTTTTCTTTAGAATCATTTGTTGTAAAATGTAAATTCATAATACAGGGCGTTTATCCCCTTGTAAAACAACAAAGCAATCTGCTTTCAGGAAAGTCATAGAAAATAGAATATGGTATAAGGAAAATGTAACCATTCTAATTTTTAGTCACCGGTGTACCAATTTTTTAGCAATGAGAAAACTTTGATTCTTCATATTTCGCAGTGATTTGTGGAGCAAGAGTGGTCTCTTTTGAGGATCATTGCAAACAAATTCTATTGAAAGGTAGAATTAATACCTAATACAAAGTACATTTGGACAAACTGAAGAAAACAGATAATCTTTTCAAAACTACAGCCTACAGCAATAAATTATCACGAGTAGAAAGTTGTCAAAATTTTCAGAACTACAGGAACAACTTTTCAGGAGTAGAAGGTTGTCAAAACTAAAGAAGCATATTGCAACGCGCATTTTAGTGAAAAATGACAAACTAAATTATGTAGATGATTCGAAAACTTCAGTGAAGTGAACTATGTTGAAGAAACACTACGTCAAGTTCAAGTTCAAGAGATGCCTTCGACACATTTGTCCAAGTCTTGGTGGATAGAGTTACCTGGTACCTATTGCTGGTTAGAGGTAGCAGGTACTCCGTGGAATTCGTCGGGGTGTGCACAAATTGACCTAGACACAACAATTTCTTGTACTAAGTTTTATTTCTAATCACTACCATATTTATCCATGACGTCTTCTTAATATCAATATATATCGAATTCGTTTCCCCTCATTCGTATCTTAAGAAAAAATTTAAATCTAAGGTTTCAGTTACATGAGTTTGAAGGAGAAATAAATGTTGACTCATTTGCTATTTCATAAAATGGAGGATAGAAGCAAGCGTATGGTGGGCTTAAGACAACAAAGGGTATTATTGAGGGTTCGAAGGAAAAATAAGCATTGGTTCATTCCAAGAGTATGATTTTTCTTAATTTACGAATGGGAGAAAATTAAATGTGAGAAGTCGATCTCATTGATTTCTTCAGTTTAAACGACTCACGTGGTTCTTAACATCGAGTTCGTCCTCTCTAATATAATATGGATCAGTGTAAATTAGTATAGAAAAACAATGTTTGCACCGAAAAGGAAAAAGATAAAAAAAAAAATGCTACTATGTAATATATTAAACAATATATCGCATATTGCATTTTTAACAAAAGAAAATGTTAAAAGAGAAAAGTACAGAAAAGAATAAGGTAATGTTGCAATGTGGATAGATAGGATGTTATCCAAGTCTTCACCATTAGTTTTGAGATGCATGCCATGTCAGCACTGTCATCTGCCACGTCAGAAAATCCTTCCTATCAAATTGCTGCATTAGATTGCAGATGTTTCTTGGAAAACCAATAGCAGGCCGACACTTGGCAGGTCTACATCCACCAGATCAAGCATTTAGTGAGTATCTCCACTCCAAATAGCATCCTCAATTTCTCAATTCTCATCATCAACAACTCTTCCTCTAACAACTGATCTCAACCTCAACCTCTTCCGGCTTCACCGTTAGCCATGGCTGCAGCTACCTCCCTCTACGTCTCGGAAATGTTGGGAAGTCCGGTCAAGTTCAGCGGTGTAGCGAGGCCAGCTGCTCCAACTCCATCTTCCCCTGCTACCTTCAAAACTGTTGCCCTCTTCAAAAAGAAGGCTGCTGCTGCCCCTGCTAAGAAGGCTGTTGCTGTCGCCCCTGCTGATGAGGAGCTCGCCAAGTGGTACGGTGAGTAACATACTTACTCCTTCCGTTTCATTTTATATGACTGTGTTTGACTAAACCGCCTAAAAAAACACATAAAGTTTCGGCATAATATGCAGGATTTTGGAGCTCCTGCGTATAAACTTTCAGCATATTATGTTGGAACTCCAGATTACAGAAAGTTCCAGCATAATATGCGAGATTATGGAGTTCCTGCATATAAACTTCCCGCATATTATGTTGAAACTTTAGCACATTATCAAATTTCAGCACATTATGTTGAAAGGTCATATGTAAAAAATTCAAACTCCAGTATATTATATTATGCTGAAATATTTTCGGATTTTTAAGGGTGATTTTGTTCAGATTTTATTTTTACATGATAAAAGTGACTAGATTGCAATTACTTTTGAAACAATGGGTATTTTTCAATTACCGGTTGTAAATACTCAATTACATTTTCTGTCTTTATTTTCCCTAATTAACTGCCTTCATATGCTTGTTGCTGTTAATCCGTACGTACTACAATAATGTCAAATAGAACCTCTAGAGATTCCCAGTCCTGTAGTCTCCGTTTTACAACTTCCCTTTTATTCATTTGCTTAATACTATTTACAGGACCTGACAGAAGAATTTTCCTACCGGAAGGTCTCTTGGACAGATCAGAAATCCCCGAGTACTTGAACGGAGAAGTTCCCGGAGAGTAAGCTTCCTTAATCTTTGCGTCTTTTTGCTAGAATTGCATGCCAATATATACAAACATGGAATGAATTTACGAGTATAATAAATTTTCTGTATTTGCTGCAGCTACGGTTATGATCCTTTTGGTCTCAGCAAGAAGCCAGAAGACTTTGCTAAGTAAGTGTGGTGACACAATAATTAAGTATACTCTCAGCCAATTTCGAGCCGTGGAAACAGCCTCTTGCAAAAATGCAGGGTAAGGCTGCATACAATATAATAGACCCTTGTGGTCCGGCCCTTTCCGGGACCCCGCGCATAGCAAGAGCTTAGTGCACCGGGCTACCTTTTTTTACTCTCATCCAATTTCGTTCGTGTTGTTTGTGGAGATAGATTCTAGTGTTAATATGCTCGGGTCCACTGCAGATATCAGGCATATGAGTTGATCCACGCCAGATGGGCTATGCTCGGTGCTGCTGGATTTGTTATCCCTGAAGCCTTCAACAAATTTGGTGCCGACTGTGGTCCTGAAGCTGTTTGGTTCAAGGTATATATTGCCGTCAATTGCACCTTTCATTTCTTTAAGAATTTTAAATTTACAAGGAGTATACAATACTTATTTCCTCGTTTGTCTCGTGTCTAGACTGGAGCTTTACTTCTAGATGGAAACACATTGAATTACTTTGGAAAGAACATTCCCATCAATCTTGTTGTTGCTGTCGTCGCGGAGGTTGTTCTTCTTGGTGGTGCTGAGTACTACAGAATTACTAATGGCTTGGTGAGCTCCCCTTCACTTCTTGGTGACTAGTTTGCGACATTAATGTTGGCGTTACATAGCTCAAACATACTCTTAATATGATGTGGCATTATCCGCTTTGGGCAAAGCTAGTACTTTTTTCTCCAAAAGGCCTCATACCCATAGGCGGACGTATGTTATACAAAGAGGGGTCACTAGCACACGTAAAGTTCAGCAAAAATTCTATGTATACATGTAATGTCTTTAGAAAATAGTGATACATTAGTAGTTGGCACCCTATATATAAAGTAGATTTTGGTTGAATCCAAAAGTGCACCCGCGACCTTCAAATCCTGGGTCCGCTGCCAGTCATACTCATTAAGAGTAGTCATACACCTTATATGTAGCTTCCTTTTCCTTTCATCAACCAATGCGAGGCTTTGGTTGCAACATAACAATATCATATACTGATAATTTATTAGGCTGTTGATCTAATAAATTGTATTGGCATGTAGGATTTGGAGGACAAGCTACACCCAGGTGGTCCATTTGATCCCCTAGGCCTAGCAAAGGACCCAGACCAGGCAGCAATATTGAAAGTAAAAGAAATCAAGAATGGAAGACTAGCCATGTTTGCTATGCTTGGTTTCTTCATCCAAGCCTATGTGACAGGAAAAGGTCCAGTTGAGAATTTGGCTGCCCATTTGAGTGACCCCTTTGGCAACAACTTGCTCACTGTCATTGCTGGAAATGCTGAAAGAGCCCCCACTCTGTAATTCTACAATTCAGCAATATGCTATACATTTTGATGCACTTGATCAGAGCTGTACTATGTGAAAAATTAAACCAGCTTGTAGTTCAAGACAAACTGTACTTAATTTCATAGAGCTCCAGTACTGGCCACATTCGTTCTTCAATATTCTAATCATATAACGTCGTTCCTCATATTCAATTATATTTCAGTTTTGACAAACTTGCTTGCATTCTCTGGCAATAAACTCATGCGATGGATTAATGTTGGATGCGGTTCCTCTCCACTAGACCTTACCACTATTTCCTCAAGTAGACGCTTATCTATCTAATTTCAAAATGATACATTAAATTAATTTGATAACATATCAACATCTATTTTAACAAATATTTTAACTATTAGGGATCGTTTGGTATGATGGATAAACAAAAATAATCCTGGGATAAAAATTTGGTGCCGTTTTATTCCTTACTTGATTACTATCCAAGGATAAGTTATCCTCAAGATTAAAAATAGTATCAGAATAAGTTATATCTACCAAAAGGTGGAATAGTAATCCCAGGATAAAGCAGTAAAATTGACAAGCCCAGGATTAATACAGCATATCAAATAATCAATAAAAAATAATACCAACAAAAAAAAACTAATTTCAGTTTAACTAATCCATTATAGCCAATCCCAGCATAATTTGTTTTCAAACCAAACGACCCCTAAGAGCATCTCCAACGCTGCTGCAAATGCAGTCATTTTTGCCAAAATATGGCTCCAATGCTCCCCTATTTTTGGCTGCAAAATGGGGGATGAATAATGGTACTCCAAATTTGGAGTGACACTATTCATCTCCTCCATTACTATTCATCATTACTTTATTATAATTTTTATTATTTAACTCTTTTAATTTATCTCTTTATATACACCTAATTATATTTATGTAATATCTTTATAATATTAATTTTACATCTTAGGTTTGGCGTATAATTTTGATAAATGAATTTTCATGCATTTATTATTTTTATGTAAAATTGTAAGTTAATTTTAAAGTTATAATTGTACAAAAAATATATAATCATCTCAAAAAAATGAATGATGCAAATATAAAATATTAATGCACCAATTCAAGATGATTGGGAATGTCCACCTCCAACAGTAGAAATGGTAGTAGATGAAAATCACCGATTTGAACAATTTTTAGCTCGACACAAAAGAATTAAGGACAAAGATGTCACTTTGCACTTCGTAATGCATTAATAGATCATTTATGGGAGCATCCTAGAGGTATGAATATTTATGTAATATTTAATCTGAATTTTACCATAATGTAATATGTATATCTCAATGATTTCACTTTTATTTGAATTATCCGTTAATATATATAATCTATAAAATTTGCTTACAAATTATATTATTTAAAAGTTTATGGTATAAAATAATTTTATATTAAATGGTTATATAAGAAAGGAATATAAATTATATGTGATGAATATGTAAAAAAGAAAAAAAGATAGAATTTCTTTAATAGAAATAAGAAAATAAAATTTAAATAAAAGATAAAAAATAAAGTAATAATTGGAGTAACTTTACTTTATTTTGGAGTTTACTCTATTTTGGGGAGAAGATTCAAGATAACCAAAGTCATTGTTGGGAGAAATTCAAAAATAGCCAGATTTACCACTGGTCGTTGAAAAATAGCCAAGTTTCAAAAGTCATCGAAATTTAGTCACTTTAAATCTGAGCGAAAACACTGTTCAAAATCCGAAAAAATGCGCCCGCAAATTTTACGGGAGTTCCAGCATAAGTATGCTTGAACTCCCGTAATAGGATAACTATGCTGGAACTCCCGCAAATTTTACGGGAGTTCCAGCAAGTATAATTGTCCAGTATAATATACTGGAGTTTGGAGCACTGGTGCTCCAGTCTCCCGCAAATTTTACAGGAGTTAGCAAAGTATACCAGTCCAGCATAATATGCTGGAGTTCGTACACAAATGCACCAGAACTCCCGTATATTATACTAGACCGATCCCTGTTACAGCAAAATAGTGGCTATTTTTCATTGACTTGATAAACGCTGGCTATTTTTCATTGACCAGTGTGAAAATTGGCTATACCATGATATTTTAACGTCATTGTTCCCTCCCGCCCTCTCCCGTATAAATTCGCGGTCGTGCTGCTTTTGGGGCAAAGAAATCGCGAAATGACAGTCCAATCGAAAAGAGTGCCTTATTTCATTCTTCTTCACTTCCTTTCTCCAAATTTTCAGGATCGTTATTTGTTTGGATCATTCCCCAATCCCAATTCAGCTCCCACCATTGTACATCACCACTCGCAACGCTTTCATTCATTCATTCATTCATTTCAGACACAATTTTCTCACCCGAGAAGCAATTTTCTCCTCATAATTTTGATCCTACTTTCCACTCGACATAATTTTGATATTATTCTTTGTCTGTTTATACTCCCCTGTTCGCCCTTCGCGCAGAGGCCTATTGGGATTTGATCTCAACTTGCTCTTCGCATAGGGCACCATTTCAAATTTGTAATTCGCTGATTTTCAAATATATAAGTATATATAAGGGCCTCGATTGACATGTTAATGGATGCATTTATTCTAAGAGTAAAATTACTGTTTCCCTCCACTTTCCTTTTATGGATCATCCTTACAAGCTCCTTCACTATTCCCGTGGTGCTTTCCAAAACAGACTCCCGCCAAGGTACTCCATTTGAATCTTTACGAGCTTACATAGCCTATAAAATCCAAACAATATTTTAGCTTGCATGCTATTGGTTACTACGTTTATATATATATATATATATATATATATATGTGTGTGTGTGTGTGTGTGTGTGTGTGTGTGTGTGTGTGGACATAAATTTGAAAATTGTCTATACAGTTTCCTCCCTCAACAATATGTACCAATATTTGAAGCCCTCTTCCAAACTTGATGGATGGAAAAAGGATGGAGGAGACCCTTGTGGTGATGATTCTTGGAAGGGTATTAAGTGCTCTGGTTCAGATATTACTGAAATGTACGCCTTTCCTTCACTTTCTTTTTTATTTGCAGTCATTTTATTTACTATTACTTACACGCATTTAAGTTATGTACACTGACAAAATGGTTAAAAAAATTACACTATTAGGTAATTTAATTGGTTATAGCAGGTCATCCCTGTATTTTCCAGGTTACCATATCAGAATTGATATGACGAATTACCTGTTGTTGTGGATCTATTTTACCTAATGGTGTAAAAGATTTATCACTGTCAGTGCACATAACTAAAATTCTTATTTATACGACAATACAAAAGGAAAACAAAGATTTGCCTTGCAGTTCTTTTGCTAATCCATGATCTGATTGTTCTTATATTCTAACTAATGTTGCAGTGATTTATCTGGTTTGGGACTTTCTGGATCACTAGGGTTCCAGCTTGATAAGTTGGAGAAAGTCACCTACTTGTGAGGCCCAGACAACACTTGGATATTCGAAATTGGGTTTTGTATTTGTGCTTTAATATGTCCACTGAAAGAACTGGTCCTGACAAAGATTAATTTGAATGTCATAGTGCAGTGATGTGAGCAAAAACAACCTCAAGGACAACGTACCGTATCAACTTCCTCCTCGCACGAAGCACCTGTAAGTAGGCAGAGAAGCGTTAAGTTTTTATACAAAACTGATTATGAAGTGTCTCCTCCGACTGCAAGTTTTGATCACCTCCTTTGGCTGTCTTATTAGTACGATTATTTATTACTCCCTAGTCCCTCTGTCCCAATTTATGTGAGGGTGTTTGCGTGGGCACTGAGGTTAAAGAAAGAAGAAAGATTTTTGAATGTTAAAACAAGCCATAGACATCTCTGTGGCCGTAAATCATCTCATTAAGGTAAAATGGGAAGTGTAATTTAAATTGTTAGTGTCATTCGCTTTTGGACAGACTAAAAAGAAAAGTGTCGCATAAACTGGGACAGATGGAGGGCTAGTTAGCGTTAAGCCTTATTCAGAAGGTTTTCCTCTGTTGATATTGAGCCCTACCAGTCCCTCATTGGGTTCTTATTCTGCAGAGATCTTTCTGGAAATCAATTCAGTGGAACTGTGCCTTATTCAATTTCTCAGATGGCTGATCTTAAATATCTGTAATGGTTTTTCTCTTATTCTTTATTTTTTAAACTTTGGGCTTCATATCAGGTGTCAATATGCTCTATTTGTTACGCAGGAATCTTAATCATAATAAGATAAGTGGATCACTGAGTGATATGTTTGGACAACTTACTAAACTCACTGAGATGTAAGTATTGCAAATTTAGCAGCCAGTTTTTCTGTTTTCTGTTTGTTTCTATAAGGTCTTGCCTTCTGCAAATAAATTCATGAACAGCTGCAAGAAGAGATTAGATGCGAACTATGGAGTGAACGGTGCTGAAAGTAGTAAAGTTGATTATCTTAGTTTTTCCAAGAATATACTTAAGTTAAAAGTATCCCATTAGTCTAGTCCGTCTGCTTCAAAAACATTGTCAAGTAAGATAACAATGCTTTTACATCCCCCTCTTCTCTGTCTGTACATTCTTGTATATCAACATCCATGCATATATTCATACACATTGTAGTGTGTCTAGTAATATACTTGCCTAGCGTATCAACTAACTGATGATAATTCATCCAGGGATCTGTCCTTCAATGCAATATCAGGCAGTTTGCCTCAGAGTTTTAAATCCCTCTCAAGCCTCAGCAAATTGTAAGCTAATGCTTTAGTTTTGGGATCAAAATCTTCATTGCAGCTAAACATATTTACTCTGCAAGCAGGCACATGCAGAATAATCAGTTTACTGGATCAATAAATGTTCTTGCCGATCTTCCACTTGACGATTTGTAAGTTGTGCCATTAGTAAATTTACGATTCTAAATCATGGTTCTTGCAATTCCAGTAGTGTAGTAAGTTTTCCCTGCATTATATCGAGTTCCATTAATTATTACGACAGCTACGACAAGGTATTGAGTCATAGGGGTACTGTACCAAAAGGAGCAATCACATATGATTGATTGATACATTGAAAAGCTTGATGACATGGAATTAAGTAAGACATGAATTAAACAAATAATAACCAAATAGCCTTCACAATTAGACTTGCACTTGAAAACCTTTATAACACACTGGTTCATTACTAAGCCAAATTTGTACCAATGTACTTTTTCCCATTATGCCTTAAAAGATGGGTTAGATTTATGTTCATGACTCTAAAAGAAACTATCACAAAGTACGTACTGAAGTGTGCTCAACATACGAAGAGGCTAAGGCTGTATATTCAACAAAATGTTGGCAGGAATGTAGCAAACAACCAATTTACAGGCTGGATTCCTGATGAGCTGAAAGACATAAAGAAATTAGAGTGAGTGCTGGCTGAACTATTTGTTAACCAGTTTCTTCTTTAATGCACTGATATTTGCTTTTTTTATTTTTTTGAAGGACTGGAGGGAATTCTTGGTCTTCTGGAGCAGCTCCTCCTCCGCCTCCTGGGCAGAAAAGTAAACCTCACACCAGGCGGTCAGGAAAGGAACCTAAGTCTGGCCTGGGCGCAGCAGCCATTATTGGGATAATACTGGGTGTTCTGGTGCTACTTATTCTTATAATTGTTCTATTTTCGAAAAAAAGATCATCACCTTCATCCCATTTTCTTGAAGAAGATAGATTTAGCCAGCGTCAACGTTTCACTCCTCTTTCATCTCAGGAGTTATCTAGTGGCACACGTGGCAACATGCGTGAGGACTTCAGAGGTAATTTTACTTTTGGCTTGCCAATCCCCCTTGTATAAAAAGAGAGACATGGTGGAGGAAAGGAAAGAGGAAATTTTTTTTTTTTTTTTGAGATGGTAACAGATCCAATATATTAATAAATCATCAGCACAAATTTTGTACTGGAACCAAGATTACATCAAGAAGAGCTAGGACAAAACAAAAATTAAACTTCCTTGTTCTTCTTACAAGGAGCCTAAGACTTCTATGATTGAATCATGATCATCTATATATTCTGCTTTACACCAAAAACTAAAAAGAAGAATGCAATTCATTTTGATCTTCTGTACAGGGCTACTTATATCTTCAAAACACCTTGCATTCCTCTCCTTCCAAACTGTCCACCAAATGGTTGCTGGGACAATTTTCCATCTATCTTTGTTAGATGTAGAGCTCCCCCCCGTGTTCCAGCTAGACAAAAGTTCATAGGTTCTTCCTGGCATTGTCCATCGGATGCCCCTGATGTTAATGAACAACTCCCACAGTTGTCTTGTCACTCTACAATGTAGAAACAGATGGCTAATTGTCTCTGCATCTTGGCCACACAAATAACATCTAGAGCAGATTGATAAACCTCTTTTCATGAGGTTTTCTTGAGTGAGTACTGCTTTTTTAGCCACCAACCAAGTAAAGCATGCCACTTTATATGGTATTTTGACTTTCCAGATATGCTTCCAAGGCCATAGGCTGAGTTGAGATCCTACCCGATTCAGATTTTTATAGGCTGATCCTACTGTAAACCTCCCGCTGCTATGTTTCTGCCATACTAAAGTGTCTTCCCCTTCTTGTAATCCTCTGCATTGCTAGTATTGTAAAATTCAGTTATTGTTGTTAGTTCCCAGTCTTGTAACAATCTTCTGAATGTCAAGTTCCATCCTTCAATACCCCATAACTCTTGTAATCCCCTTGTTGCCCCTTCTCGCTTCTCAATTAAAGATTTGGGAAACCTTCATTACTTTCTTGGTGTTGAGGTGATTCGAAGTTCAGATGACATTATTCTATCTCAAGCAAATTATATCAATGAAATTTTAAGTGCAGAATTGATGTCTTATTGCAAAAGTGCTAAAACACCAATGAGTAATTCCGAGTTACTCAAACTCAATGATGGGGCTGACCTTACAGATGCAACTCGCTATCGCCGAGTCCTAGGCAGACTTCAATATCTGTCTTTTACAAGGCCGGACATTTCCTATGCGGTCAACAAACTATCCCAGTTTATGCAATCACCATCAGACCTACATTGGAAAGCTGCGAAACGTGTTCTCAGGTATCTTCGTGGTACAATCCAGTTTGGCCTCCGTGTATCCCCAAATTTTGATTTTAATCTGCACATGTATTCTGATGCCGACTGGGCTGGAGATCTCACTGACAGATCCTCCACATCTGGCTATATTATGTTTCTTGATCGTAACCCAATCAGTTGGTCTTCAAAAAAGCAGAAAATTGTCGCTCGCTCATCAACTGAAGCTGAATATAGAGCTGTTGCCAGCGCTCTAGCTGAATTGTTGTGGGTAACCTAATGCTTGAGATGAAGCTTCCTGTCAAAGATACTCCCACTATCTACTGTGACAACATTGGTGTCACTTACCTAAGCGAGAATCCAGGCCTTCATAATCGCATGAAGCATGTTGAGGTGGACTTTCACTTTGTGCGCAACCATGTTCAACAGAAAGGGGTTCAAGTTGTTCATGTTCATTCTGCTGACCAACTAGCTGATACGCTCACCAAGCCACTTGCCAAACCAGCCTTTGACCGAAATTTGTTCAAGTTAGGCTTAGTTACACATCGCATAACTTGAGGGGGGCGTATTGGAACAACAATTGTAACTAGTTGTTTATCCCTTTGGATTAGTTCTTAGCTGTCATGCTTATCATCCATAGATTAAATATAGATTTAGAGTTATCCTTTTTAGTTCATACTTATCATTCAGTTAGTTAGCTCTAGATAGTGTTTTGATTTGAATAAGTCTCCTAATTCAAGGAGTACTCTTAGGAAGACTTGTATTTAAACTGAGCTTGGCATTCAATACAGATACAGTTTTCCATCATATTCTTGAGTGTTTATATAAATGAACCCATCTTTAACGGCGAGGGCATCTATGAGCCGATATGCTTAAAGAGCATATTTAACCCAAATTGCAGAAGATAGGGGCAAATTTTGACTTTTCCCCCTTGATATTTTATTCATATCAGATCGTTAGAGTTAAAGAACCCAAGTTATTAAATACGTGAATCAAGTCCAAATGGAACCAAATTGTGAGAAATTGTACAGCCAACTCCAACTAGCCGGTTTGAGGCGGCGTTGTTCTATTCTTGTTGCAAGAGCATTTGAAAATAAGGTTAAAAATACATGTTTTAACTTGTAACGGCAATATTCAGGATTTGAATCAAGAGTGTACGGAATTAATACTTTCTTTTTGTGGTGAAGAATTGTCAACTAAATTAGAAGTTCAGACAAACAAGAACAAATATATAGTACCTCAACTCGCGGTTTTTTCCCTCGAAGCAGAGCATCAACACTTCTTTCAGTCTGCATTTTGTTCCAGGAAAAGAAAAAAGTTATTAGGACTTAAAGGTGTGGCCTAGTAGTCAATGAACTGGGAGGAGACCATGAGGTTTCAAGTTCAAATCCCAACGGAGGCAAAAAAAAATACTAGGTGATTTCTTCCCATTTGCCTAAACCTTGGTGGGCAGAGTTACCTGGTACCTGTGCTGGTGGGTGGTAGCAGGTACCCGATGGAATAGTAGGGGTGTGTACAAGCTGGCCCAGACACCACCACCGTAAGAAAAAAATCGAATAGTCGCCAAAAAGATTACAATGGATAAAGTTATGGCATTTAAGTCATAGAATTCCTCTCATCCCTAGCAGTGAAAGAACCTATATCACTCTTTGACAATAAGCTAGTTGCAAGAAGAACAAACAAGGGGATCAAAGAGGGTTATCACAAAAAACAAGGGGATCAAAGAGGAGGGAAATATGTGCCAACATGTCAATATGGAGGCATTGCTGTCTAGCATGTGATATTTTCTATATTAAAAAACTATTGCCTCATATTAGTGACTAACCCGGTGCAAAACCCAGGAGTGTCTCTCCCTTATTTCAATCAAAAAGGGAAAGGGCGATGGAGCTTTCCTCTCAAGAACACTTTTACTGCAGTTCCTGATTCGTGCTTCCTGATCACTTAGAGTCACAGTTACCACTCCTCCAATCTGTAAGATTCGACAATTGAAGAGATCAGAAAGGTTTCACTTACATAAGTATGAAATGTAATTCTGTGAAGAGACACTGAACGTAGGGAAAATACTAAGGCAAACAAGAAAAGATCAAGATTGAGAGATAAATCTGTAGTCATTGCAAGCTCCAATGTCCTTTTGCAAGAAGAAAACAAAGAGCTATATCCTAATAAACTATAGGAAGTCAGAGGAAATACAGAAGTTTGAAATCCAAGTTAAAATCCAATATTAGACCCTCCCCCACCCCCACCCACCCAACCCCCCAACCCCCCAACCCCAAATAAAAAGCCAAAATCCAATATTAGATCAAGAAATTGTAAATGTTTAGTTCTACTTTGTTGTACACGATATGGGCTGCGTGAGATCCGCATTGGATTTGGTCAACCTTAGGTGCTTCGACTACACCTATGGCCAAGAGATATAGGTTGATTTGCTATGTGGTTTGACTTCAGGTGTATGTCATATATATGTACATATTCACACAAAATATTAGAACACCTTGCTATTATACGAAATAACTTATGAATAAGAGTAAGTACTTACAAAGAATTTAATTTTACTAGCTTTAATTTAATAACGTCAATTCCAATCCTAAGATTTAGGTGATAACAAATCTGACTTCTAGATTCACACTTGTGTCAGGTGCCTGCTCCCATATCCGAGAGACAAAGGTTCTCTACATCTTTATGCCTATCCTAAAACAACATAAATCACTTATATTTCCTACAAATTTCTGATGCTTAGGAAAATCAATAAAAGAATTGAGAAAGGCAAATATAAATTCGCTATATATTCCCATAATCCAAACCAGTAATTTGCAATTCATGTCTAACTACCTAAAGAAGAAATTTCCGATTATTAAACTAATCTAAACAAAATTAAAAAGGGACAAAAAACTTTAACCACAAAAAAAAAAGGAAAAAAATAGTGCCCTTTGGTCAGAGTTAGGTCTATGTAGAATATTATGAAACACTAAGTCTGAATTCTATACTGAAAGGATTTCCATGTTCAACGAGAGCAGTGACAACTATAACTAAAAGGACTGTTGTGATCACCAAGGCCCCCATCCTTCCAACGCTCAACTTAGAAGAACAGGCTAAAAAAGGAATCCCAGTGCCTTGAAAGTGGAGGCTGAGAAGACACATGCTTTTATCAACCATCTTTAGATGCATTTGAGAATGACATTGCAATGTCCCAGAAGCAGAAATGAGGATTAAAGATATACTGATATGTCTTCAGCTTCGTTTGTGTTTCACCTAATGGAATGAAGGAGAATAAGTAAACATTAATAGAGAGCTTGATATAAATAGAAAAAGAAACTGACGAATTGATATTAGAGCAAAGCACCTGGAGTTAGTTAAATAGGCAATAAAAAAAGATGGAATTCATCACCCCCACCTAACAATCCTAAGAAAGTAAAACAAAAATAGGAAAACTAAGTAATACTAAGTCCGATGACCACTTAGGATGACAAAAGCCCCACAGAAATCCTGAGACGTACCTGCTTAAAGACCGAAGCATGTATGCCTGAATGAAAAGCTACACAAGTAACTCTTTTTCCTTTCAGACGGTTGTAGTGAGGAGAATAAGAGACCATTTTGTAAGTGGGAAAAGATTTGTACCCCTATAGGGAAAGGGGCCCTGAGAATATCAAGTAAGTAATAAACCAGAATTTTGGAGATTAGAGAGGAAGGCAAGCATTGAACAAAGTCAATGAATGTAAGCTTAGGTGGTTTTATGGGGACTGGATTTAAAGCGAAGCTGGAGATCCTTATGGCCGAAGCTTGTTGGGCGGATAAGACAAGTTTTATAATATCTACCTGTCGTTCAATTTAAGGCTGGAGATGATGGGAGAATGGTTTTGCGGAAGATTAATGGAGCAAGGGACTCTTAATAACATGTACCCAGTTCATGCCCTGGTTTCTAAGCAGCATACCACAGTCCAGGCTTCTTTGTGATTGTAAAGTAGTGAATTATTTTAAATTCCACATTAACAAGAACGAAATATTGAAATTTCTTTCTTCCAATTCATGCATTAGTCTAATTGGAGACTTGAAGTACTGGATACTTTGCTGTCGAGAGCTGCTGATAGTGGCATCCTTTAACTAAAGTCATTTTTCTTCGGCCCCTTATCGATCTGGCAACTGCGAAGTGCGAACTCCCTTGGAGAATGATACAGAGAAAAGCATATGTTCTTACAGAGCTTCCTTTCTTTGCTTCAGAAGCTACATGGTTCTCTATTGACAGGTGACAGCATCCATAAAAAGAGAAGTATTCATGTGAGTGTCGTCTCTGTAAGAAGCCACAGGAGAAAGACAATCATATTTTGCGGTATTCTAATTGTGCTTCTGCTTGTAAACATCTGATGTTCATTTCTTGGGTAGTCAATTAGTTGAGCCATCATCACTTAAAAGAGTCTCAGATTTTCAATGGATGGTTATATATCCCATTTTTTCTTAATTGGTGGCTCATTAGTTCGTAGTGGACTAGCACCTTAAGAGGTCATGCTTATTCTTGGTAATCTTGATGATGGAATGCCCCTCGGTGCCTTGTCTAATGGAATACTCTAACTACATTTGTCAAAAGAAAAAAACACACACAAAAACTATCAATTATTTCTTCTTCTTTTTGGATAATTGAGAGATCCCGGAGGGCCACAAGCGCAAGATTGAAATTAGGTTGATAATAGACTCCCTCAACCCTTTTCCACTTAAATACCAGGCTTTTGTCTGCACAAGGTTCGAACCCATGACATGTGCCTAACCCAGACATCACATGTTGTGTTCTTACCACTAGACCAAACCCCTGGGGCTACACAAAAAGAACTATCAGTTGAAATAGAAAAGTTTAATACTGAATCTAAACGACTGAAAAAATTCTTAGATCGCCTCTTTAAATCAAAGAGATACAAAAGCAATATACTTGCTTACCATTAGGCAATAAAAATAGATACGAGAAGATGAATTAAGGATATTCAAATGATGCTGATATGGATTGTTGTGTAGGACAGTAAAATAGAGAAGATTGCTTCTTTTATTAAGAAAGTAATAAGGAGTTCAATACATACCAGATCACACAGAGTAGGATTCTTAATTATATTCTCAAGCTGCTCGCCGTGAGCTGTACCAATAAGCATAACTCCTCTCTCAGCAATTGTACGGCAAGCATGAACTTCAGCTTCAGTGCCAATCTCATCTATAATGATCACCTCAGGCATGTGATTCTCCACAGCCTCAATCATAACTTGATGCTGCATCGATGGGTCTGGAACCTGCAATCTTCTTGCC